CCCAAATAGAGCGCGCGGCCAATAGATCCCAATCGTATTTGGTTTGGAAAAATTCGCCCAACTTTTTGCGATTCCAATTGATTTGGACGACTTCGCCCTCAATGTCTTCGGCCAACCCTTTCTCCAGCGGTTCCGCAATCATTGTTAACTTATTTCTGTTTATCATTTCATAAAAATATTTATTAAAATATATTAACTACAGTATAATTATGGCTCACTTTTTGTTTGGCGTTTCAGCAAAACATTTGAGTGAAGACGTCTCGACGACTGTCTCGCAGAACGAGACGACAGGATCGGCCACTTTTATGTCTTACATACAAAACAATATCAATTAATAACACATATATTGGGCAAAGAAGTGTGAAATACCTATTTCTGAATACATTTTCCTGAGATCATGCATAACGCAATCCAAATAGAGTTCTCCGGTTCCCAGTATAACGTGTTCTCCGCTTTCTTCCACTTTAGTGTTCAATAGAGGATAAGATTTATTACATTTTCTCAATCCCTCCAACATTTTGGGCAACTCTGAAGGGTTGACCGGTTCCACAGCTATTTTAATCACTGATTGAGTGTTGAATTTAAGTGGTCTGAAAATATGTAACTCTTCGTCAAATTTCATGTCCACAATCGTCGCCGTCTTCGTAATCGGCTGATCGATGCCTTCGATGAGAACCCAATTGCCGGCCGGAACTCTATTCACTTCGATGTGATACCGGGCCTCATATATCCAGAGTCTGCCGACACTCATAATACGTGAGTCCTCTTCGTCGAACTGGAGAAAGGGTTGGCCGAAGACATTGAGGGCGAAGTCGTCCAAATCAATTGGAATCGCAAAAAGTTGGGCGAATTTTTCCAAACCAAATACGATTGGGATCTATTGGCCGCGCGCTCTATTTGGGCGTTCGGTCCCGAACAGAGCGGACCCAACATCTTAGTGGACGACACACTGCCGTCGGAAGTCGATAAGAATCTGTTGGTTGCCGTTAAGGACTCGATAGTGCAGGGCTTTCAATGGGCTTCGCGTGAGGGCCCGCTCTGTGAGGAACCGATTCGTAACGTTAAGTTCAAAATATTGGATGCCGTGGTCTCCGGGGAACCGGCGGCCAGAGGTGGCGGACAGTTAATACCCACGTCTCGACGGGTGGCGTATTCGGCATTCTTGATGGCAACGCCTCGACTTATGGAACCCTATAATTTCGTGGAAGTGTTGGCTCCGGCCGACTGTGTTTCGGCTGTTTATACCGTATTGGCTAAACGCAGGGGACATATCACTCAAGACATACCGGTTCCCGGCTCTCCACTCTATACAGTCAAAGCATTCATTCCCGCAATCGATTCGTTTGGCTTCGAAACAGACCTGAGAACCCATACTCAGGGACAGGCGTTTTGTCTATCAGTGTTCCATCACTGGCAGGTCAGTCACATTTGAAACCATTTGCAATTTCCAATGCGTTAATGAATGTAAATGTATGATCAGATCGTTCCCGGAGATCCTCTGGACAAGTCAATTGTGATCCGACCGCTGGAACCGCAACCGGCGCCACATTTGGCCCGAGAATTCATGATTAAAACTCGACGTCGAAAAGGTCTGAGCGAAGACGTGAGCATCAATAAGTTCTTCGACGACCCTATGCTTCTGGAGTTGGCCCGACAGGACGTCACTCTCTCCTATCCATTATAAGTGAATCACGCATTACTTCTCTAATCCTATATTAGTTTATTTTTTCGTGTTTTATTTCTATCATATCTTAAATCATTTCACGAATAAAATATTTAATGTCATAATGTGTTGAAATGTATCAAATTGTTTATTTATCACAAAAACATTTTGTATGTGAATATAATTTAATCACAGAAAACAATCGCATCGTTAGAAATACAAAAATGCGATCAAAAATTTCATTTTAATTATAAAATATATAATAAAAATTGCTTTATATTCATATATAAATTAAATTAAATTCATCTATAATTTCGCGGTTTTTGCGAATAATTGGTCTTTTTTGGCATTTCTTTATTGCTATTACTGTTTGTCTGTTGGCTCTCATCCTCTGGTTTGACATTCAATTCATCCATTAGTTTATCGGCAATCAAATCAATTTTGGTGTCGTCTTCGTAGGTGTCGTCGAACTCGTCGTCATAACACAACTCCTCATTCTCTTCTTCTTCTAAGGCCTTGTAATGCAATGACATTATCTTCTCTCTGGTCTTGACGTCTATTTTGGACACAGTTTTCTCTTTCTTTCCCAAATGAATTCGATTCAAATCAATGTTTTTATTGCGGAAGATATCAAACTCGTCGTTATTATAGATGTTCTTCCGGTCGTCAATCACTTGCGGCACTTGTACTACGGTTTGTGGCAAACGCTTGTTGTCCTCACTTTCTGGCGGTTCACTGTTTACTACTTTCTTCACATTTGTTTGCTTTTGAGGCACTTTCGCGAGACTACGATCTAATGAAGACAATTGTGGCGGAAGGTTGTCCTCCAAAATGGCATTTAAAACTGTCTCGTTATCCAAATGATAAAAGTGCAGACATTGCTGTACAAAACCTGCGCCCAATTCTGGCATTATTTCTCTAATGTATTGTATTTGTGATTCGAGCGCAACGTCTGTTTCAGTCATTTCAACAATATTTGAGAATCCGTTCACTTGTTCTTCAATTGGAGGCGAATCTCTTCTTTCACTAAAATCGTTATTAATTTTAGTTTTTAATTCATTGGAAGCATTGCTTTGAATAAGAGTTTTCAGATAATCGACTCGAGTCTTATCCAGACTTTGAAATTGAGTTAAATCACTGTCTTTTGAAAGCGTTTCCAAATCGGTTTCGATGGAGTATTGATTGCAGTAATCGCTTACAAAACTAAATAAAATTTCAATTAAGTTACTAACGACTTACGCCGCATAGAATTGCATGCAATTATATCAAGATTTTAAGCAAATTTCAAAAGTGCTAAACCAGTGCAATTATATCCGGATACAATTGCCCCCCATATTAAAAACTCACATATAATTGCCCCCAAACGCTGTACACATTTATTGGTTAGTTATTCCAACAGTTTTATTAATGAAATGAAATAGTTGCATATACAGTCAAACTTCTGTGCTGTCAACCTTCTATGCTGTCAACGTCTCTATGTTATCAACAAAATCCCAAATACCCATCTCATAGACATAATGTTAAAATGATATTTATGTTGTCAAATAATCTATGTTATCAATCAAATTCACTGGAACCGTTTTGTTGATAACATAGATGTTTGACTGTAGTAGTTGTCCGACTCTGACCTCTGTTACCACTCTCTGTGTTTGCATTGCTTTCACTTTATCTTGCATTCAATGAAGGGTTACTTTCACTCACATCTAATGTATTCGATATTTGTTGCAACCCATCCATTGATTCCTCATTTGATAACTCAATTACTTCACACAATGTGTCACAAATACCTGACACTCATTCACATTAAACAAAAACCACACTAATTGGTAGGAAAGGGAAACATATAATTCACAAAAAAACTTTTAGTCAAACTTTACAGTTTGGTATTATGTGAGTTTGGGGGCAACTATATGTGAATTTTGATAAATGTCTAAATGATAGCAAAACTGAGGGCAACTCTATCCGGATATAATTGCACCCCGACTTAGAGATCTAGATATAATTGCACTGCAACTATATGCGGAATAAGTCGTTAATAATGCCATTAATTATTTCTAAATACAAACTTTTTCTCAAATGAAATGGACGTAAAAGTTTCCATCAACTCATCGATTAAACCAATTTTTAACTGTCGTTTTGTACTAAAAATACAATAATATTGTAATTCAATACAAAATAATCATTTAATGCCATACTTTGGATCCATTAGTCTATCGACAAAATAATTGGTAATAATATATCTGAATGTTTGGACGAAATTCAAGCGCGCTATCAGTAATTGTCTTTCGATTCTTTCACTAATTCTGTAAATTCAGTACAAATTAGTTTGAAATAAACAATTATTAACTATAAAATATCGTACAATTCTCTGCTGTCCGACGATTCAAATCTGGAATTCAATTCATTTTGAAGGACAGGAAAGAGTCGATTGTAAAATTCAACAATAATTTTATCGATGGATGACTTTTATCGAGTCTTATCCAGACTTTGAAATTGAGTTAAATCACTGTCTTTTGAAAGCGTTTCCAAATCGGTTTCGATGGAGTATTGATTGCAGTAATCGCTTACAAAACTAAATAAAATTTCAATTAAGTTAATAATAATGCCATTAATTATTTCTAAATACAAACTTTTTCTCAAATGAAATGGACGTAAAGGTTTCAATCAACTCATCAATTAAACCAATTTTTAATTGTCGTTTTGTACTAAAATCACAATAATATTATAATTCAATACAAAATAATCATTTAATGCCATACTTTGGATCCATTAGTCTATCGACAAAATAATTGGTAATAATTTGTCTGAAAGTTTGGACGAAATTCAAGCGCGCTATCAGTAATTGCTTTTCGATTCTTTCACTAATTCTGTAAATTCAGTACAAATTAGTTTGAAATAAACACTAATTAACTATAAAATATCGTACAATTCTCTGCTGTCCGACGATTCAAATCTGGAATTCAATTCATTTTGAAGGACAGGAAAGAGTCGATTGTAAAATTCAACAATAATTTTATCGATGGATGACTTTTTATAATAATTGATCATTTGAGGCGCCGATAGGGCCAGAGATTTTAGACTAGCGCTCAATTCTGCTATATTAGCGATAATTGTTTGCAATTCTGACCATTGAATACACGATATTTTATTACTGTATTCGTCTTCATTCTCATCGGTTCCGAGTCTTTGCTCAATAGAATTGAACATTTCCTTGAAATGAGCGCAACCTTTAAGTAAGTCTTCCTCGAATCGGGGCTGACATCCGATTACAGTCGACAACATTTGTGCCAACAATTGGTACCCAAATAGAGCGCGCGGCCAATAGATCCCAATCGTATTTGGTTTGGAAAAATTCGCCCAACTTTTTGCGATTCCAATTGATTTGGACGACTTCGCCCTCAATGTCTTCGGCCAACCCTTTCTCCAGAGGTTCCGCAATCATTGTTAACTTATTTCTGTTTATCATTTAATACAAATACATGAAAATATATTAACTACAGTATAATTATGGCTCACTTTTTGTTTGGCGTTTCGGCAAAACATTTGAGTGAAGACGTCTCGACGACTGTCTCGCAGAAAGAGACGACAGGATCGGCCACTTTTATGTCTTACATGTAAAACAATATAAGTTAATAACACATAACTGTCATATATTGGGCAAAGAAGTGTGAAATACCTATTTCTGAATACATTTTCCTGAGATCATGCATAACACAATCCAAATAGAGTTCTCCGGTTCCCAGTATAACGTGTTCTCCGCTTTCTTCCACTTTTGTGTTCAATAGAAGATAAGATTTATTACATTTTCTCAATCCCTCCAACATTTTGGGCAACTCTGAAGGGTTGACCGGTTCCACAGCTATTTTAATCACTGATTGAGTGTTGAATTTAAGTGGTCTGAAAATATGCAACTCTTCGTCAAATTTCATGTCCACAATCGTCGCCGTCTTCGTTATCGGCTGATCGATGCCTTCGATGAGAACCCAATTGCCGGCCGGAACTCTATTCACTTCGATGTGATACCGGGCCTCATATATCCAGAGTCTGCCGACACTCATAATACGTGAGTCCTCTTCGTCGA